GATTCCTTGTACATAGAGCACTCCAAATGTTTTTCTCTTTGCTCTCCTGACAATGATAATTTAAGTCTGATTATTCTGTTATAATACATAAACATATTTAGGATTGTATGCAAAATTTCAACCTTTCAGATCTTGTAAATTATTATATTTTCTCATTACTTTCAGAGTAGTCACATACCATTTTTTGATGTGAGTTTGAATCCTCTCTGTGCGAAGTAGAGTTCATAAAGTGTTTGATTATTCATTCATGAATAGGGAATATGAACGAGATTGAAAGCCTTCTTAAATAGGCTAGTTTTTATCCTACATATGATTTTTTTATTAATATAAAAACGTATACTTTCTTGTGAAGTCATAGTATGAAACTGTTTGCGTGAGAGTCCAAATTCAGATCGAAAAATAGTATATGATCACTCCGAAAGTAATGAGAAAATATTATGATTTACAAGACGTGAAAGGCTGAAATTTTGCATACAATTCTAAATATGTCTATGTATTATAACAGAATAATCAGACTTAAATTATTACTGCTAGGAGAGCGAACGGAAAAAACTTTTGAAGTACCCCATATATTTGTATTTTAATGGAGATATCAAATGATTTTGATTCTATATGATTATTTTAAATCCTTTGATTATGACTAATCCCAATATGAATCACAGTTATTTTCTCGCATATTGAAACTCATGTGAGATGAGTTGTTGTGGTGTGTGAGAGTGTAGGTATTGATGTGAGGTATTGGCGTGCCTCTGGGGTGTGGGTGTGAGTCTTCTATTCTTTCTCCTATCCACACTCCACACTTACGCTACCACGCCCACACACATCCACACCCATTCCTTCATTGTGTATCGCATACTATAAGGTAGTTATCATATGAATACTTGAGAATTTGTAAGTCTTGTATAGATCCTGATGTGGTTTTTCATGTTCAATCCAAATGTATGAAGAGATTTCTGATCTTGACAAATACTACGACGTTCTCACTTTCGTTTGAAGAAAAATACATTGTTTTTCTGTGCATAATCATCAAAACGAGACAACAGACATTTATGTTTTTACACCTATATCCTCCTGAAAATGGAGTCGTATATTTGGATAATTTAATACCAGAATGATCAGCACAACAAAATCTGCAAGTTCTGAAAGTTTCAGATAATATTCAGATGACAAAAAAACTGATTGATCATATCCCATAGACATATTTATGAAAAACTCAGTGAAAACTTGTTATATAAAATAGTTTTGGAACTTGTTCATTCCAAAATCAAAATGAGAGAAAAATAATTAGTGCATATTGTAGAGCACGTTCCGTTCTATCGAACTGGTAATTCCAACTTTCTGATTGACCTTTTTGTATACTTTTTGTCTCTAATGCAATGCACGGCGAACCAGTGAGTCGTATAAAAGTTTTTTAATTCCTAAAGAATCTGATGCAGTGTTTCACGAAAAACCAAAATCTATAATTGGTTTTATGGTCCGAGCAAATAATCAGGGACTATTATCGATGTTTGGATGATAATGCAACTATCATGTATTTCAAAAAGATGAAAATGTATCTATAGTATTTGGTTCATATCTCTTCGACAATAGGGTGTAAATATAAAAAAATTGTTATCAAAATGAATCGACTGGCGACATCCCATGGATATACCTTATTTTAATTTTCTATTCACATTTGTTTTAACATTGACATTTAAATAACATTTCTGTGTTTATGGATGTAGTTTGGTATTTTGTAGTCGTACTCGGGTTTGAAAATATGCAATGACTCATACTGACTCAAATAAAAGTATTTTCCGATTGGTTCACCTTCATTGATATGATTCAGTTGTCGACGTTGTGTAGATGAACGAAGGCATCTATTTAACTCCTGTTTCCTTTGTACTGACTCTGTTATTTTAATCGATTATTGTAAATTAGATTGAAGTATTCCATAATGACTGCAAAAACATCGATATATATTTTTTTTGATTTGTTGATGACAAAAAGAATCGATCGACAGATAATTGAGTTGGAAAACAGAATATCAAATATCTATTTCAGATATGTATCAACTAATTCTACCAGATAATGTGGTTTCAGGATTACGACTATCATCACTTGCCTTATTTCTTCTTTTTACTATTCATATAAATATTAAATCAATACTAGCTGCTATTCTTCTTCTTGGTAAGTCTAATAGAGATGATCTATTAATTTTCAGATGTCTTCATCTACTCTAATACCTGATCGTGTTTTAATTGTGGATAAACGTCTTGTACCAATTGATTTTGAACAATTTCATTTTATTCAATTTTCTCATCCTCGTACAAAACAGGAACAATCTTATGCTATTGATCATCAATCTAAAACAATCTTTGAACTTGTTCAATGTACTCGTTCATATTCAAGTTGGTTTATTAATGATCAACATGTACTACCAGATGGATCATTATATATAATTACTCCAATTAATTTAATCTTTCTACTTTTACCTTCACTTTGGTGTCATGCTCGAACAAAATTTATTCCATTAACAATAATTATAAATGATTCATTTAAACAATTCGAATTGGGTGATGATTTTATCATTGAAAAACTTCGTTCAATTTGTGATATTGATAATGAAAAAAATTTAATTAAATTAAATGAAGAGAATTTAATTATATGGCTTCGTGATCGAATTGATCGACTTAAAAACTATGTTCAAGATGAAGAACATGCATTTGATCTTGTCTGTGAATATTTATCAGATGATATTGTTGAACAATGTCAACAAGAATTAAAACTTCATGGAAATATACGATATGATATACCTATTGGTCAAAAAGCACCATCTGTAATAACAACAACAACAACAACAACAATTACAAAAAAGAAAATAGTAGAAATAACAAAAAAACGCAAAAAATAGAGAACATATTTGTCTTAATGAATTAGAATGTAGAATGTATTATTTAAAATAAAGAACAAAATCAAATATAAATTAATTGAAACTAAATGATATATTTCTTATAGGTACACATTATCTTCTTAAAAAACATGGTTTATTACAATCGAAAGATAAAATTAAATTTTCTACTAATGATCATGATTTATCAGAGGCAACAATTACGTATGTATTGAATATTTGTCTATTTCTTTTTCATGATTTTCGTATATATATATTAGTCATGCGAAACAAGTTTTATATGAACATTATTTGAATACAAGTCAATCATCAGCGTTACATGAATTTCATCAAATACAAAATAAATCCAACTGTATATTTGCTAAACGAGCACGATGTTCGAATGCACCTCATTGGCTTGATAATTTATCAATTGAAGATAATTGTGAACGGTAATACACAAAAAAAAACATTCTTTGTAATTTTATAATCTATGACACAAAAGCCTTGGCATAAAATATTCATTCATTTTTCAATCACTTAAAGGCGTTCCTCTCTCAGAAAACTCAATTTTTGTCAAAAAAATAGTTTTGATTCTCGAAGGTCTTTGAAACGATCTAAATTAATAATGATGTCTAAGCAATTAGTGATTTTTTTTTGTTTTTTGCGTTTTTCTCGAAATTGATTTTTTCGGTAATGATCGAACTGCGGACAAATTTTTGTTCTAGAGATCTACGTTTTTTTTTGATCAATTGATATACCTATAGTCCTTCAGATGTGGGTAAGAAATTTTCTGATTTTTGAAGTTTCGATTAAAATAATGATTGAATACTTTTTAATGGCTTAGTTTTGTACCTCCAAAGTGTGCTATTTACTTTTCTGACAGATTTTAAAACTTTTCACAAAATTCATTGATAGTTGTTCAATCTTATTAAGTTATTTGAATAAATTGTTTTTTTTTATCAAATAGATTGTTACCAAGTTTTATTCTCTTTTGTGCATTTGTAAAAGACATATCCATTGATGGTTATGTGATTGAAATTCCTCATAATCATTTAACGACAACACTTGAAGTAAATAAATTTTTTTTTTGTTTTGAATTTAAGTTTTTGTTTTTAATATTTTAATTCGAAAAGGATTTTGGTCAAATATTCAAACAAATTCTTCGTTTTCTTTCGGATCATGATCCAGCTAAACGTCATTGTATGAATGTTTCATCATCACGTATTGGTCAAATTGGTTGGGTATTTGAATTTGATCGTGTTACTTTTTTTATAACAACATTTACACCACATTATCCTGAAACACATCCACGTTATGCTCATGGTTCGAAAAATTATTGTCATATACTTTTTCAACCTGAATTATCATTTCTTCGACATGATTTACCTGATGATACACCTCATACAAATTGGATAGAACCAATAACAAGTCGAGATAAAATTCGTGTTGCCTTTCGACAACATGGAAGAGAATATCCAATAAGACCGACTATTTATTATCCACCATCTCATGATATGATTAGACCATTAAGTAATGATTTAGAGGATATTATTGAATGGTGGCTTTGAATAATAAACTTTATTTGTTTGATTTCTGTGATATTATTTTAATTCACATTAAGAAATAAATTTTAAAAAGATATTGCTAATTATAAAAATTGATATGGAAAATTCGATCTTATAAGTGATGAAATTTAGCAAAACACAGCTTTCTTCAATACATATTGAGCATAGATTTTTGTTCTTAATGATGTATTATATTCGGCAGGATTTAAATCGTTTTCTTAGAGATAAAGAAATGAATGAAATATATATAATGGCGTACAAAAGTTTAGAACAGCTGTAGTTTTAAGTTTTCTTCTCGATAGTTATAGCTAACAAATTTTCCTATCATGATTAATAGGTTCGAAGACTTCAGCAAAACTACTTGGATGAAAGTCTGCGAAAAACCAGCT